GGAAGTTCAGCAACTGATAGTTAATACCAATCCGATCAGTAAACCTTCTTGTACCAGAGTTTTTATTAAAACAAATTACCCGCTTTTGCAAAACTGGCTGCAAGATATTGATCTGTGAGTGTAAAAGCGAGTGTGTGTAGTTATGGATGATGTACCGCCTCCAAAAAAAAATTAGACTTGAATAATGTTTAAACTGTTACAATTAAATGTTAAAACTACTACCTTATTATTATTTGGTTTGTATAAATAAATATAACCACTACAGTGGTTAAGTTTTATGAGACATTCGTTGGATTTTCACAGTTTGAATTTGTATCAGCCCGAGTTTCTGATTATACTCGGTTCACAATTTGTTGATAGCTCACTACAAGTTTAATCCTAATTAGAGAACTGAAATACAGAGAGGATAGGTAATACGATATAATAGTAAAAACCAACCTGAAACTGACGGTTTAAGATGTTTTCGACTAACCCACCTTGTATCTGCAGTAATACAATACAGCGGTCAACCTTATAATCCGATTATAAATGTATTTTGGCCGACCAGTGTCGTAGAGTATATGATTGAAACATTGATTTGAACTAAATAAATATATTTTTTAAATTGTATTTTTGTTTTAATAAAACTTCTTTATTTTATTCAAAAATAAAAAGTTTCTTGCCATCTGTAAAAGATACATTTATTTAATTAAGGGGAAAGGCGCCAAATGTCGCCTGGCAAAATTTTCAATGTGTTTTAAATGTATCCATTATTTTCGAATCCGGAGAAAACTAATAAATATTTTTGAAAAATTTAAACGCAGAATGAAAGATTACATTATTACTGAGGGCAGAAAGTCCCTGAAAACTTCTACAATGTTTATTTTAATATGTTATGTAACAGGGGTGAAAATAAAAGAGAAAATATAGTATAATTTTTAATTGAAAATATTGCATGCAAAAGAAACTTTTTATTTATTCTGCCTTTAAATTTTTCAAAAATGCTTTTTAGTTTTCTCAGGATTTGAAAAAAAAATGGATACATTTAAAACACATTGAACATTTTGACAGGCGACATTTTGCGCCTTTCCCTTTAATACCTTACGATTACAACTACTATTACTTACCTTATATAATTACGATTAGAAAACTATTCAAATTCAAAATAAATAGGATCAACTTCGGAATCCGAGTCGTCTTGAGGGTTAATAATTAGCGGTTGTGTCTCTACGGTCGCATCAATTATGTTATCAAGATCCCACATTTTTTGTTCTTCTTCTATTACATGTCTTACTGCATCTTTCCAGTTTTGTTCTGTAATGTGTTGTAAAGACTCGTATAACAATTCACGTACAGCTTGTATTTTATATGACGTATTTTTTCTAGCCACATAACTTTTCATTTGTGCCCAAATGAGTTCAATTGGATTTATTTCGCAGTGGTAGGGTGGAAGTCTAAGGACTGTGATGTTTCGCCTTTCCGCCATTTTGTCAACTACGTATTTCTTGAACTTAGATTTGTGTTGCCGGGCAATTTTTAAAAGTTCTGCTTTTACCATTCCATCTTCGTAAGGCAGATACTTATTCCGCAGCCAGTCAAGAATATCCTGTTTCTTCCACGCAGTCGTTGGAAGTCTTTCTACTAGTCGTGAATGATAAGGTGCATTATCTAATACTATAATTGAATTTGGTGGTATGTGTTCAATCATTTGCACAAAATACTCTTCGAAAACATCAGCTGTCATCTCCTCGTGATAGTCTTTTGTGCTTTTGGACTGAAATTCCAACAAACCATGCTTAACAAATCCTTTTTCACTGCCAATGTGAGAAATTATTAATCCACTGCCTTTACCAGAAGGTGGGGAGATACCAGTAGACCAACCTTCATTAAGGCTTGCCTGGAGCTTAATATATTTTTATCTGACCAAATTTTTTTTAGAGTATGACCTGAGTTTACCCACGTTTCATCCTGGTAGAAGATTGGCCTTCCTTCAACCCGGAATTTTCGTATGGATCTTAGATAATTTCTTCTCCAACATATTATCTCCTCCCGGTCAATCAAAAGTGATTTTCGGTCTGTTTTCCCACGGAAATTTAATTCTTTAAAACTTGCCACAATTTAGTTCGTCCGATATGAGGCAAATCCGGATCGTCTCTAACTTCTTGTAAAATTTTATTTAGGTTTGGTATTTCTTTTTTGAAAAAAAAATCCATGAATTTTCCTTCGAATACCATTTTTGGCAAATTCATCAATTTCAATAGGCTTTTTCCCTCTCTTTAAGTGTTCGTTTGTGTTTGGGTTAGCTATACCGTGTTTTTTTCTTTCTGATAGGAACCTATATATAGTTGACTCCCCTACGCCAGTCATGTTGGCACAACTTTCGACTATGTTGCGAACAGTGTTTGTGGGATTCTGAGAAACCAGAGCATCGTGAACATTCAGGACAATAGTCTTCTCTCTTGGTGAATAGACAGACTTACTGACTGCACGCAACAGTACCGGTGTAAAACTTGATGATGTTGATGATGAAGCCATCACAAACAATCCAACAAAACGAGCACGAGCGAAAGGTACGTATATGTTCGTAGGTATATGGAATAAAAAATCACTCACGCACTGCATATAATTCGCAAAAGAAATATTTAAGACGCTAATTACTGCCGTAAACGTGGAAACACCGACGAGCCGTAAATTACATGCGTTCAAAAACTTACTTAACAAAAAAATTGTTTTCGTCGTAATAACTTCACCCTTGTAAGTTAAGTTTCGAATATAAACTAAACAGACGAGGCACGTGGTCAAAGCCGGCATCTATACCCATTATATTATTAAAGATCTGGGGAATTCCATCCTAATTATCTTGCAACGGATAGTACCTTCGGATATGAATACCAGGTTTTCTAGTGAAGTGATTAAACGCGAAGATTAGTATTGAAATATCCAAAGAGATAAGGTATTCTTATTTACAAAATTGTTAATGGTTAAATTATTATTTTTATTAATATAATGTAATAACCAACATTAGCCGTGAAAAGTTTAATTGTTTTTTGCTAAATATATTAGTATTAAAACATCTCCACTCGACCTGTGAGCAATTTGGTATGAGAATAAACATTAAAAAAAACCAAAGTGATGTCAATCCGAAAAAACCAAAACGTACCTCAACCTTGCACAATAAATGGGCACATCTTAGAACAGGTCAATAGATTAAGTACTCTTTTCGAAAAAAATAAAAAAAACTGCTTTGTGATTCTCGAATAAAACTTGAAATTCGACTACGTTTATCAAAATGCTACGTCTGGTCGACTCTTCTATATGCAGTTGAAACGTGGACCCTTAAAACATCAACCGTAAATAAATTGGAGGCCTTTGAAATGTGGATCTACCGGAGAATACTCAAAATTTCATGGACATCGCATACCTCAAACGAAGAAGTGCTGCATAGAATAGGCAAGGAAAGAGAACTTTTTAACACAGTAAAAGTTAGAAAAACATCATACCTAGGCCACATACTGAGAAATAATAAGTACCAATATGCCCAACTTATAGTGAAAGGAAAAATCGAGGGAAAGAGAGGCCTAGGAAGGAAAAGACTATCGTGGCTCAGAAACATCCGACAATGGACAGGGCTAAATTTTGAACAGCTAATAAGAACAGCTGAAGATAGAGAAGAGTTTAAAATTGTAGTATCCAACCTCCATTGAGGAGAGGGCACTTTAAGAAGAAGAAGATAAAACATTAATATTAATATTAATTAATGAATAAACACTCAGGAACGCCTATGATGATACAAATTTAACGACCGTTAGATGACTTTAAGGCATATTTCGTGCTATCAACAAATTGTGAACGGATAATAAATAAGAATACTGAAATGAGTCATACCACTCTACTTGATACATTATTGATACCGATTCGAGCACGGAAAGTTTTATGAATTTGTCCTCCTATGCAATATTTGGCCATTAATCAACAAAGCTAGAGTTTGCTAAAAGATTTAATCTTTTACACATTTCGTATATTCCAGAGGAAAGAAAACGATATTATTAAATCGGTTTCGTTCATAACCACCAAAGTAGGTGGCACCCTGTACGCTAACCACTGCAGTGGTTAAGTTTTAGGAGACATTCGTTGGACTTTCCGAGTTTGTATTTGTATTAGCCCGAGTGTCTGATGAGTCATAACACTCTATTGATACCGATTTCAAGCACGGGAAGTTTAACGAATTTATCCTCCTAGACAATAATGTAATAATATATAAAATAAATATAGAATAAATATTTTTCCTTCATAAACGACCAGCAGTATTATTGTAACTTTAGTATTTTCTGACTTATATTGTTACAAAAAAAATCAATTTGGGATAAACAAATAAAATAACTTTTAAACTGTTTGACCGATCGCTTTGAAATTTTGCACCGAATCCATATTTTAAGCACTGCAAAATACTTAGTGTAATATGAAGATTCTACGTTAATTTTTAAGAGTTTTTTTAAAAAACATTTTTGAATAACCGAAATTTTTTACTTTCTGCAACTTTCTAATAAAATAAAAAGATTTAAAAAACTACATTTTGAAGGTTTTTATGTGAATTTGAGTTTCTTGCTCTCAAATTTTATTTAAATGCTTCACTGTTTGCTGCCAGACGAAAATTGACCGTTTTTTTATCCTTAATTTGTTAATAACTAATTAAGTCCAAAAAATCGACTGCAGGAAATTCATAGGTTCTTGTTATAGAGGTATATACTACCCAAAACAACTGTCATTTGTCTGGTGCGGTCAGTGTCACGAGAAAAATCTTATTTCTCTGGACTCAATTTGCTTTCTTCTCTATACTACCACAATCAATACGTAGTTACTACTTGCTGCTTATGTATCGTTTTCTAAAGAAAGCTAAGAATATAGTACACAAGCCTACTTCAATCGTTACTTTTGATATTTATAATTTCATTTTGTACAATATATAATGTGAAATTTTTGCAAATTTTCGTATACGCCTAACCTATTTTCTTTTATTTTAGATAAGGCGACATATAACACCTTTAGAAATTATGGCATCATTAATAGGTGCTGTTGCTCATGATTTAGACCATCCTGGAGTCAACCAACATTTCTTAATTTCTACTTCAAATCACTTAGCGATATTGTATCAAGTAAGTAATTCACAATAATTATAAATAAAAATTCATATTTTTGCTGACGAAAAAGACAACATAAAAAATATTACATGAAGAGGAAAACCTCACAAAAATAAAAATAAATAAATATTCAAATATCACTATTTACTGCAACAAATAAATCTAGACCCAAACTAACGTATAAATAGAAGTAAAAGTAAAAGTCTCTGAAACGAAACATTTGATGAAAATAACTAAGAAACAACAGTAGACATAATAAGGAATAAAAAGTGGACAATTTTTAGGCCAAAGCCAAATATAAACCAACATCTAATATATAACATATAAAAAACTATAAGAATATGACAAAACGAAGACCTATTAAGCTTAAATCCTAAAATAAATAGGGTTATTCCTTTCGCCCAGAGGAATACATGTACCATGTTCCAACACTCTGGGATTTTTTAAGAACTATAGCACAGATAAATCGACGGACAGACATATGATATGACAGATTTATGAAAAATTAAAAGGGGTTACTAAATAAATATTCAATTCGGTTTAACAATCAACTTACATTGCCGTAACCGATTTCACGTAGGTATTCTTACGCAATCCCAGTGGAGGATAGACTTACTTGAGGAATGCAACCTTGCCATACGCACGCGTTGATTCTCTCTCAACTCATTTACTGAAGAGAAATCATATCCTAACCCCATTTCTACCCAATACGGACCATATCTTACCAATTTCCCAAACCAACTCACCAACCAGCCTGGCAAGCGTGGTGTTTAAATACCCAAACTCCCTCGGCATGAACAGACATTCAAGAAAAGAGCCCTTAGTCCCAGGCAGCTTGCGTGTTCCCAACCAATGTAGCGGTAGGATTCACGGACAGAGGGCAGAGGCTGCGAAAAATCCTTGGGTTATAAGAGGCTAGCAACAACGGCAAACACTGCACATAATTAAATGTAACGTAAGAACGTTATCCAAAGTTGAGAAAATGATGGAACTGGACGAGGATCTCAAACATGTCAAATGGGATATTAAAGGAATTAGCGAAGTCAAAAGAAAAGGTGAAGATCAGGTCAAACCAAAATCAGGTAATATATTCCACTATAAAGTTGAAACAGAATCGACAACTGGAGGAATAGGTACACAAAATATACAAAAACTTACAGAAAAACATACAGAGCATTAATTGTATTTCCGCAAAAGTTATGTTTAAAAGTCTACGACTGAATAAGAGATACAGTCTGAAAATTATCCACGTATACGCTCTCATCAGCGATTACAAAGGTGAATTTGCTGAAGCCTTCTATAAATCGATAGTGCAAGAAAGCAGGAACCGGCCCATTAAAATCTGATATTAGAAGATTTTAACGCCAAAGGAGGAATAAGAAGTGGTAATCAAACACAAAACATCTGACAAAAAACTTCTGTCATAGCACAAACTATATACAACGAACACTTTTTTAAAGAAGAAACAGAAGAAGAAACTAAAAGTGAATATGATTATATGATAATAGACAAAAAACAAATTATTTAAGATGTAGGTGTACTCAATGAACTATCAGTAAGAAGCAATCACAGACCAGTAACAAACAGAGTAACGATAAACTTACAAAAAAAATAGCAAAGATGATAAGCAATGCAAACACATAGTCCATAGTAACCATAAAAATTATAGCCGAAACTTTACAGAGTAATAATTCCAAACCTCTAAGTATCAGCGATATATTTGCAATGAGAGCAAAAGCGAAAAGATTAATAAAGATACAAAAGCTCTAATGGAAATACAACGAAACCTAAGCGAGAAAGAAAAGCGAAATAAATAAGAATATAGAAAACTAAATAAAAGAATATTAGCAGAAATTAGAAAAGTTCTAAAAATATATAATACTAATGTAATTACTTAAACAATAGAAGAGAACATGTTTAAAGACATTGAAAAGAAAACCCACACAAAGTAAAAACTAAACATACAAGCTTAGAGACAAAGACGGAAAGGCAACAACAGATAATCAGGCCATTTTGAAAATAACTAGATAGTTTTATAAAGACTAATATATATATATATATATATATATATATATATAATATATATATATATATATATTCTTTGGAGGATAACTTTCGGGAAAGCGTCAAAACAAGGATCAGCTAGAGATGGTATAAGCCAGTTTGGTGTAGAACTTTATTCTATATGTGAAATTTTCGGTGATATGTTGTCACCTTCATCAGCACCTAAATGGAAAACCTATTTTAGTACAAGTGGTGGAAGTTAACATATAAAACCTACATTGAAAATGTTCAGTTGGTCCTAGAGTTGAAGAACACTGTCACAAACATGTTAAAAATATTAAAAATTACATTTAAAATTTTGAATAAAAACATTACAACACAACAGGGTATTATTTAAAATACAAACACAACAAAAATCTAAAAATTATAACCTACACAACAACTGCAACTTCATGTTAAAGGTAGAAAAGAAGAATTATTCTTCTTTTTTGATGACATATTTCTGACTTCTGTCAATATCCGGGTGTCATATGCAACGAGGTTATAATTTTCACGTTAGAACCTCATGGATATGGAAAGAAAGAGCCCCAGGAAACACAATCAGCAGGGAAATGGAGTCTTTTCTCAAGTACAGGTAGGCAATCTATGTACTTGAGAAAAGACTCCATTTCCCTGCTGATTGTGTTTCCTGGGGCTCTTTCTTTCCATATCCATGAGGTTCTAACGTGAAAATTATAACCTCGTTGCATATGACACCCGGATATTGACAGAAGTCAGAAATATGTCATCAAAAAAGAAGAATAATTCTTCTTTTCTACCTTTAACATGAAGTTGCAGTTGTTGTGTAGGTTATAATTTTTAGATTTTTGTTGTGTTTGTATTTTAAATAATACCCTGTTGTGTTGTAATGTTTTTATTCAAAATTTTAAATGTAATTTTTAATATTTTTAACATGTTTGTGACAGTGTTCTTCAACTCTAGGACCAACTGAACATTTTCAATGTAGGTTTTATATGTTAACTTCCACCACTTGTACTAAAATAGGTTTTCCATTTAGGTGCTGATGAAGGTGACAACATATCACCGAAAATTTCACATATAGAATAAAGTTCTACACCAAACTGGCTTATACCATCTCTAGCTGATCCTTGTTTTGACGCTTTCCCGAAAGTTATCCTCCAAAGAATTGTATTCTTAGCGTCGTTATACAAACTCTATTTAATATATATATATATATATATATATATATATATATATATATATATATATAATACAGCCAATGACCACAAGACAATTTCCCGACACGAGTAAAGACTCTCATAAATCAGGGATCTGAAGTACTTTCGCCTATTATAGTGTCAGAAGTAAGAGCAGGAGGAAATAAAGAACCATCGGTTGTGATGGACTTGTTATTGAGGTAATAACAATAGGAGGAGAAATCCTACTAAAATCATAGCAAAGTTTAATAAATAATTAAACTTTGATGATATACAAGGCATTATCGAACACAGTAATTAATTAAATCTTGCCCAAGTACTTTCGATCAATAGATCATCCTCAGGGGCATTTCGTCAGTTGTGGCCTATCCGACATGAGCAGAATGTCATACATGTAAATTTGGACATAACAATACAATACACAAAGACAAACAAACACTTTAATTTTTTTTTATTTTTAAAAAGGAGAAGCTACATGTTATATAGAAGCCGGAGACAGAATGAATGTAATGAATGTAATAAATAATTGATGGATTCGACCGTTACTTGATGGAAATTCATTTTTATCTAATAATAAAACACTAAAAACTTTTGTTTTCAACACTTCCACAAAATTTATTTTAAATTATTATCACTACAGCTGTTTCGGCCAGAGTGCCTTTATCAAAAATTTCTTTTTCAAAAGTAGCTCACTTGAGAAGGGCAGGTGGAAGTGTTGAAAAGAAAAGTTTTCAGTGTTATATTATTTAATAAATTCTTACAGAGGGTACGATTCCAAAAGACTGGAACAATGCAGTGGTAGTCCTGTTACACAAAAAAGGTGATATTACTAAATTAGAAACTCATAGACCCGTCAGCCTCTTGTACAAACTCTTTATAAAAATCTTTAGAAAAATCTTTATAAAAATCAACGAAGGGATAACACCTAAACTTAATTTCTGTCTGCCCAAAGAACTGGCGGACTTCAGGGCAGGATATGGCACAAACGACCATTTTCCATTAAGATATTGAAATAATTGAAAAATGCATCGAGTACAACTTGTAGTACGAACCACTGGTCCGTGCATTTGTGGATTACGAGAGGGCTTTTAATTCTGTGAAGTTTGAAACAGTAGTGAAAGCACTAAAGCAAATCCGGATAGATTACAGGTATACGTCACTAATCAAAAACATCTCTGAGAACGCTACATCAAGTATACGACTAAACTAGGGCACAATAGGGCACAAAAAATTTAGGTTTGGTCGAGGATTAAAAGACAAGGTGACCTATTTTACACTAACGCCAAGAGGAAGAATTTTCCCATCTAAAGTCTATAGAAATTTTTACTTTAAAAACTTTGGTACTTCATATTCAATAAAATATTCAATAAATGGCCATATTCTATAAAAAAAAATGAAACAAAATTGGGCAGCTGATGAAAAAAATTTAACAAATCATTTTTCTCGCTAAAATAGATATTAAAATTTTAAAAGAAGAGGCGCGCTTGACTTTATAAAAAATATAAATATAAATACTGTACCGAACATGCTTATCTCGGCGTAGCCCATATAACGGACTATTCCAGAATATTCTAGTACATAATAACTTGTATATATAAGTAGCGCTGATATTAGCTAAGTTTGTTAATAAGATATAATCGTGTAGTAATATTATAAATAAATATATTTATATAAATTAGAACCGCTCGTTTGATTTAAAGACGGTACAGTTGGTGTCACGGTGTGAGATTTAAAAATAAATTGAGCAGTGACTTTTGAAAAAGCCTTTTGAACTTTTGAAAAGTACATTAATAA